AAAAGTTCCCGAGGACTGAAGTGGTGAAGCCAGAGTAGCTTTTCACGTGCCGATCTTATTCTCGTATGAGCGAGCACATGTAAACGGTCTATCGAATTCTATTCTTTGGGTTGAAGTCATCCGTGCTCGTTTCTTTTTTGCGGGATCCAAGCGCGCGACGTGACAGCTTCTTTCGTGACAGCATTCCCAGAAGGAATGGGTCTACAGAAGATATGCTCGTCAAGACCGACTCGCCAATGCTCTCGGTGCCTTGCTGAACGGAGTCCTCGGATAGACCTATCTTGGCAGGGGATTCGCGGTCGAAAGCGGCTTATCTGACAAGTTCTGTTCGTTTTTTGTCAAGTTTCGATTGTAGGAGGGATTGCGGTAGTTCCAGAATAAATAGAATGCTCTTTGTGTCAGGGAAGCCGTGCTGAGGAAACCCGGCGGAAGACATCTTCATACAATGCTGATCGCTTGTTTCCCGATGCTGAATTGATAAGGCACGCTTCTAGCTAAAGGCTCGAGTCGCGTAGAAGACTTGTACGGGAATTGCTCCAGCCGGAAAATTCCCATTCGGTACAAGCGTAAAGAATGGACCACAAATGAAACTCAATCCAAAGGCTCATGCGGGCAGCGGAAGGAAAACAAAACTATACGCGATTGTGCCCGTCCAAGTCAGAGGAATTCCGAGACGATTGAGGATTTCAAATATCCCAAAGGGACCTGGAGAAATCTCGGTTCGGAATAGATTAGGATGAAGAGCTCTCCCGAAGTTCCCTGTGCGGCGCGGGTTGCGATCAGCCCTCGTCGGGCTGAAATCAAGCTTTGTCCGATGGAAGACGAATAATTGGGGAACACCGAGAGGTATCTTTTTTAAATTATTCCCGAACCATTGTTCTAGGGTTCTGTTCCACTCGGCGGCTCTACCCATTTTCTTCTCACCCTGTTGAGTTTTTGCTCTCATTTTGTAATATACCGCAACTCATATCAGCTGATTACATCTGCGATGCTTTTCCTTTAGCAATATTTAGTTGATGAAAAGAGCGAAATACTGCTCGACTTTGAGTTTGGGTGAGCTGAGGAGAACATTGGCACCGGTCTTGGAGATGAAGACGACCTCAACTTCGATCGACAGCAGACCACCGCTTAACACGTGTTCGCGACGTATTTTTCAGCCAGAAGGGTTGCCGACCACGGGAAGAGGGAACAAATCATTAATTGCGGCTCCAACATCGGATAAGGGAATCAAATGAGAAAATATTTACTCTTTCGCTCGGGTATAGTCGATGGGCGGCTCGCCGGTGTCGTCAGACAAGAAACACATTACCGGCCGCAGTCTAATTCAGGATCGTTGATTAAGGAAAGCGGCGTCCCACCGTAAACGTACATGGGAAGGTGCCGCGAAGCGTCCTAAATGACTTGCCCGTATCGAAATCGCAGTGACCCCTGGAAGCCTTTCGCAATGGAAGCAAATTAGCAGAAATCGATCAAGAGCCGGGTGACAGGCAAGCCAGAATGTCCGAAGAATTGATTCGGTCACATATATGGGACGACCTGAAAACGCTTTCTCGATTCTCGAATGACTCTGCTGTAGGAGCGTTCGGCGCTTCGTCAGGACCACGGCGACGTACGATAGGATTCCGGCAGCGATTACCGTGAGATGACACCTACGAAGACAGTTCCAAGCGACCGGAAGACGAGGGAACTTATCCGTGGATATTGTGTATATCATGTAAATATATCATTGTATTATGTCGTAGGCCCCATGGCCTGGATTTTGGACGAGGACGCCTCTTAATCCCTCTCAAGGGAAGCGGTTAGAGATTAAACAATAGGTCAGCTAGCGAAGAGGATCAATGTCCGTACGAACGCTTTATCAATCATCAGCTGATGCGTTTTTGATGGTTGGTTTCCGCATAATGAAGCATCGCATAAAATTGAATCGATTCTGCCCCTTGCCCGAAGCAATCACGCGTTCTTCGGAGCGGAAAACGAGGTATAAGAGCTCTATTCATATCTAAAGAGGAAGCTGCCCGAGCGTTCCACATCTGAGGTACGACGGATGGCTCCGAGAGCACGACCCCATGAGAATGTTCTCAATGAGTTTATGCAGAGCGTTCTTACTGTGAGGTAGCGGCGGTAGAAGATAGAGCACTAGCGACGGCGTGGATTGAGGCTCGAAGCCCAAGTTCTTATCACGGAATGATACACCGGCTTCGGCGGTTCAGTGGGTGAATGAAACACAAACACACGCGGATCGCTTATCCGGGCCAGAGAGGTACCATCGATCATGTGATCGTGGAGGAATAATTATAAGCTACGAAGGGATTATACTCAAGATAAGTTCGCATGGACCATCTTCGCAAGAAGCTGGAATATAATTGGTTTTCCGCTGTGATGCGCACAATCACGTTTCGCTTTACGAATTTTACGAGCACGCTATGGATCGAAGCGCCGACACTTCGGAGTGAACCGCTTGCGTTAGATCTTTATACTGTGTGAAACGAATAAACGGAAGAGAGGGAGAAAGTGAATAAATCCATCTATCAGCCCCGTTCTCATTGACCGCGAAGACGCTCACAGTAGATCACTGTGTGCGCCCGCTGGATTTCCCGCGCACCGATTCCGACCTTTCCAGACGAGCAAACGAGTCGCTGAGTAGGGCGAATCCTGCTCGTTTCGCCCTTCTAATTAAGAGGAACGGGCTGTCGCCCTGCGGGCGGCGGGGACTCCCATCTCGGGAGTCGAATGAAAGTTGATTAGAGAAATCGAGGCGCGAAGCGCTTGATCCAGGGCTCGTCTCCATCTAACTTCCTCGACCGTGGTTGAAGTGGTTCATCTGAATTTCGCAAATGACCGTCAAAATGTCCATAAAAGTTGCCCGATGCGTTTTATGGGCAAAATTCGAAGACGCTCGGCAATCGAGACAGCGGTTTTGTCTGTTGAGTTTCGTCAACCGTAAACCGTGTACGGAACGGTGAACGGTGTTTTTATTTCGCTCAGCAACCATGGAGAGAATGACCACCGACGGACGAGTATTTCAGCGACTCTGGAGGAGCGGACGAAAGAAAGAAGCGGAGAAATCACCGAAGCTTTCATCGCGCTGTACCGATGCTACCGCCACCGGATTTTTTCCGATAGGAGTTGACCGGTGGACCGATTTATTTCATTAATTCATTTGAACAATTCTTCCGCAACAAAGGGGAACCTCTGAACTGCTTCGGGAGAGGAGTTCCCCGTCTCAAGCCACGATTCTCCAGGAATGATCAACTCGCCAGTTTCCATATCTCTGCATCGGAGGTGCTCAGCTGAAGAGGTCGCAGGGGCCACTCGGTCACCTCTGGGCCCAGACGCGGGCCACCAGCCCTGATCAACCGCCTCGCCAGAACTACACCCTAATTCCTGGGTACCACCTGGGATTTTCGATTCTGAAGACGAACCCGGAGCGTAAAAGAAGGTCGAGCCTTCGGGATACGGACGTGTGGGGTCTCGATTGAGGATGCCGATTGGAGATTGCTATTGATTGTTCATTGACCACTCTCGGGAAAATTGTCATTCCCTTTCGCTCGAACCGGCGCTGACCGAATTCTCCGTCCATCTCATCCGTGTTAGAGGGTGGAGATCTGTGCACCGACCATTCTCTCTTGTTCTCTCGCGTTGATCGTATCTGCCCGGGATTCCACTGTTTTGATTGCTGTGCCAACGAGCATCGGCACTGGTGGGGGATTAATGCATATATCGGTCGCCAGAGAAACCCTCGATTGTTGAAAGAATTCCCATTCTTTCGCTCCGCGCTCGTCAGGGTTCCGTTTCCGCCGGACCATTAAACAGAGGCGCGATCGATATGTTTGCGTAGCTGCATCGGGCGGCTACGGCTGGTTACGCGGGATCAAGTCTTCGTGTTTGCCCATCAGATCGCCCCTTGAAAATGTTTAAAGAAGAAACACGGAGTGAAGCTCGAACGCAATCTGGAATATATTTCGCTAAAGCGCCGGCATTCCTCTCCGTTTCCACTATCACCGTGAATTGACGGTGCCAGCAAGCTTGATGCGTCCCGGAGCTTTCGGTCGTCCTGATGTGTCATCGGAGCATAGCCGCGGAGCTCGTTCCGTCTCGCCTGGCGAGAAGACAAAAGAAAGTGTAGGAGCATCTCAGTTTGCGCTTACCATGCGATCCCCTCACAATCACGGAGAATGCGAAGCTGCCCAGATGTCCGCCGGATCCCCGTTGCATGCTCGGTCAGTACATCGAAAGAGCTAATCATCGGTCGCAAACAATCGAGCCAACGAAGCCCGCTAGTCTTACAGTGGAGGAACGACCATGTCGTGATTCCGTCGCATGTTTCTTCAGTCATTCGATAATAATCATTGATTCGCCGGTTGCCTTCGATCAATCGTCTCCGAAAAGACCCACAAACAGATGGCATCATCGGGTCTTTAGCGGGAAAACGGACGAATCAAGTCGCAGTACGGACAATCCATGATTTCGTGTTCATGAATGGAGCAGACGGCTCGATCATTCGATTGATTCAAAGATAATAATCAGTAGCTCCCGATGAACGCGTGATAGTCGCCTGATAAGTCGCTGCGAGTGTTTCCGAGCCGATTATCTACTCAGTCCGATAATGCAGGATAAAACTTCGGCCAGCCTCAGAACTCTGAGACATCGACTAATGTCTCCTCGTTGCTCGGAGTGCATGGAAAATATTTGGGAAATTTCTCTCTCGATCCCTAGAGAGCTAGTCGAGAGGGAATATTATTGAAAAAATGCGAAGGGGGGCTTCAATCATCTGGTGGATCAAAGTGACCAGTCTTTATTCCACTCGAGAAGTTCAACTAGTGACAAGCATCCTTCCCGACCATTTCATCCCATCTATCAATCCAAAGAGGCAGTGGACGCGATTTTCTTCATGAGATGACACACTCCTTATGCCTCGTGGATTCCCGGATTCATTTCGATGGTACGGCTACAAATACGTACGTACTCCGTACCCGAAAGCTGGGTCCTGCTCCGTTCGTTTGGTTCGTTCCTCTCATTCCAAACTCCATGGTTTGCTCCGCCTCCAACGACAACAACAGAAACTCGGTCGCGGCCGGGCAAACCAGATTATGTTAACGGTATAAATCTCCTCGCATCCATAGAAGGTCACAATTCCTATAGATATGAATGATTCCTGGGCTCAACTCTTAGCGTTTCCATGACGGCGTCGGACTTGGCATCGTGCTGAGAGTCGCTTCTGGCACCCGCAGTGGACTTTTTTCGCCGAATTTGGAAGAGTTCACCACCGACAAGCATTTTGTCTAGGAGAGCAACCGGCGCCTCGCAGAACAAGAATAAGACGTAAGCGCTGATGAACGAAGCTGTCGTCACCGCGAAGTAGTTCATGATTTTTGTCACATGATTGTACGGCACACGCTCCTCTTGCAACATTAGTTGCGTCAACAGGATGACAACATGCGCCAAGAAAGCTCCAAACGAAAGTCTGCTCAGCGGTACCAATGTCCTCCAAGACAGGATCCTGGCGATGATTCCCGCTCTTCCCGTAGCGCAGGCGAAAGCCACCCAGGCAACGCCGAGTGTCCACGCCAGCCGGTGGAAGATCGCATAGACGATGCACTCGGTGCTCCCGAAATCGACGTAGTCCACCGAGAACCAGTCGTGGGGTTTGAAGAGAACAGTGAGCATCACACAGACGGCGATCATCCAGCATACGATCACCGTGCTGAAGTTCATTTTAATTTTCGGCTGCTTGTAGATCAGGTAGCCCAAGAGTATTCCTACGTTGAACGATCCCACGTGAGCCCACGGTCTGAACTGGACGAGGTTCGTCGTGTTGACGGTACTGTCGATATCCGTCGAGGTGAAAACGACGGTCGGTTGCAGACCGAGGCTCACGGTCGTGTAGCCGACGTAGACCGTCGTAACGATGGTCGAGACGATCGCGACGATCATTCCGTTTTTAGGGCTCTTGAGCATGATGATCGGGATGATCATGAGCAGAACGTATAGCTGGTAGTCGATATCAATGTACCACAGGTGACCGAGGCACATGTCGAAGAATGGAACGAAATTGTTCGTGTGCGTTAGTACTCGCCACCAGTTCGTTTCGCAAGACTCGAGGAATCGAGGCCGGTAGTCGTTCATGATCGCACCGTCACCCACTAGTGGCACCAGAAGCCAAATTCCCACGACCAACATAGCGGGCACCGTTAAACGAATGTATCTTCGCAGGAGGATCACTGGTACGGTCAGCCACAGTCGTTTGCAGTTTTGTAGAAGTTTGTGGACGTTGTAACTCAAGAGAAAACCACTTATGAAGAGGAAAGTCTCGACGGCGGGAAAAGCATTCGCGATTACCGTCGTGAATATGCTGTCGACCAAGTCGATAACGTTCGACAATGACGTTGTCGCTGTGGGGTCCCCGATCAGGTAGGTATGGCCTAGAATCACCCATGAACAGCTGAAAAACCTCATGCCGTGGATGAACATGAGCTTTTGGTCGTTGATGTCCCGGGGCTCGACGTGGAGAAGTTTTTCCGTGTTGTGGACAATCGACATACCGAGGAGAATCTCGTCCATTTTGTAATAGACGTCCGAGGAGGATCGTAGCCTCGAGATGATGTCGTCTTCCCCAGGGGTTTTTAAAAGACGGCAGAGGGTGTCGTACGCCGTCGCCGAAAAAACCACGCTAGCAATGACCGCCAGCAGTCTCAGTACGGCTTTTTGTACGTCGCTAGTTTGTTGTTCGCCTTTGGCTGTACATCCTCGTACGACGACGGTCGCCTCGAGTTTTTTCGCTGCAACGCTCGCAATATACGTCAAATCTTCGGCTGAGCAGGCCGACGGTATGCAGACCGAGTTCCTGAATCCTTTGAACATACTGTTGCCCACGTAGTTCAGGGGGTCTCTCCGTCCGATCAACAGTCCTACGCCTTGAAATTTCTTGAGAACTTTGGGAACCATCGAGTTGTGGGCCATGTTGATGTAGACGGTACAGAAGCGACCGGTGAAGTCGAGGCTGTCATCGATCCTCTTGCGGGCCTCGATATTGAGACACTCGTGGAAATTGCCCAAGTCCCCGAGGGTACCTTTCATCAGACCGGGCGCTAGTTTTCCAGTAGCGTCGAACATCTGGAGAGCCCACGGTTCCATTTTACGGAGACCGAGAGCGAATTTCACGAGAGCTGTCGAACAATCTGTGGTGATGTTGGGATCAAAACCGAATTGGGTAACGAACGGGAGAGCTTTCCGGTAGATTTCATCGAACACTTCGTTCATCATGATTTCCATGGGTCCGGGCGCATCGGGATCGATCGTTGTAGTTTCCGATTCACCGAATATGCTCTGCGACCTAGTGTACGGATCTCCATCCTCTTCGGGGTAGAGTGTTGTCGTTTCAGGGCTCTCCTCGTAGAAATCCGTAGTGGTCGTAACGTTCGTGAAGTCTTCATCACAAAACACCGCTGGCAGACTCAACGGAATCAGAACAAATATAATCCACCGGCACACGAACACCATTGCGAATATTCAGGTCGATCGTAGAGTGAGGTAATCCAGATCGTAGGAAAGACACGAGCACGAGACTACCGTCACGAAGATGACGAGAAACGACAAACGTAACCGAATCGGTGGGGGACGATCACACAACACACTGGAGGACGACGGTGGGGTTTCCCTCAGGAATTTTCAACGAAGTACGACGCGGATCTCCATCGGGAACTACTTTGTGTTATGCACGCGCATGCCTTCGATTTCATCTGGTACCGCGGCGAAAAAGCTTATTGGGCGGTCGGCCCTGCGGTTCGAAAGCTGCTGCGGCCGCGACTGGGAGCGGTGGTGCCTGTGTTGGTGGAAAGCCGCGATTTGGGATCCCTTGCCCTGAAGGTCGATCATTCGAACTTTCCCAACTAACGGATGGATCGAGAATTCCTACGGGAATTCCTCTGCCCCGCTCGGCTGAACGACTCACAGAATGAGATAAATACATCACCGCCCATAGGAGAGCTTTAGACACTTTCTGGCATTTCGATCGCTGGTCGACCCCGTGTCTGCGGCTCTGGTTTGAAGAGTCGGTATCGGGAGGAATTTTTCCATTTCTTCTCGCTCCAATGCCTTAACCGTCGAATTTCGCGAGTGATTATTCATCGGAAGCGATCGCGGACATTGGTTCCGTGAACTCCTTTCTAGTCTGTCATCAGTCATCACGGTCCCCTGAGTGACCCGTTCCAGGGGAACACGCTGCTTCTCTCTTGATGGGAACCAAGTACGCGGACGTGCATTGTGTTGAGTAATTCTCCAGATCAGAGGAGTCGATCAGCCAAAGTATTCCATTGGGGGGGAAATCAATTGTATCACGTTATTGACCGTATACCGCAATAAGAAGCTCAATACATTCCGATTCGCCCCCGACGACTGTGGGCGTTTCGTTGATTAACGATTATCGAAATGATCGTCGAACCGTTGGCTCTACTCCGATTCAGTAAATGGGGCAGGGTGAACCTATTGACTGCGGCCATTGCAAGCATTCCGCATGCTCCGATTCCGCGGACTCCCAGAGAGAGCGGTCGAAGAAAAAAACCGTCTGTACGGGCTGATGCTTTGCTCATCCAATCGCTCAGATTCCGAGACACGCATCCATCTCGGCTGCTCGCTGAGCATGATCGAGCACAGGATTCTTTCTCCCTAAGCTATCCGTTCCGCAAAGATCTGAAACGAAAATTAAATATGGACGCAAGGGGACTCGGGATTTAACATTCTTGATCCCTGATCGATTGATATTTCCAAAGATCCGGATGCGGCGGAAGAAATGAATGCTGGATCCCTCGGAAGGGTATCCGTTGACTGGAAACGGTCGTTTCAGGCAACTGGTGTTTAACGTACAAAATGCGGAATCTTCATCGCCAGCGACGCTCTAGCAACTAAAAGTGACAGTAATCGTCCCATCGCCCTCGAACTAGGATCGTGGGCTTTTAGCGTCCGATAAGGCTCTCTTCCGATTGCGAGAATTATGCCATCTTGAGATAACACACGCTCCGGATCTCGGTTACTTTCACAACTCGCGCTGATGTTATATCATATGTTTACGTCAACCTATTTGTTACAAAGTTTCTAATGAGGCGTAATCGAGGCAGACTACAAATGAAAACAACACGTCCCGGACTAGATCCGACGACCTTAATTACGGACACTTCTCAAAATGACCGATTTTTCTGTGTTTGGTGGTCGCTCGGTGCCGTTTTACGAAACCGAGATACCAATCGGCTGCATTGAAATCCTGGGACATACGAATCAATTTGGTCGATCGAGTCCCCCCGTCCAATCTGGCGGACCGTGCGCGGTAGTATCCGCTGGTCTCGTGTCCTGGGATTGATCCCGCGCTTCAAGAGTCACTTACGAGCTCATACAGCGGCAACGCTTGGTCGGAGCGGAAGTACCTCGAAGAAGCTCTGGAAAACGATCGACACCGGTCTGATTCCGTGGAGCGACGCCGCCTGTGAACTGCTCCCGACTACGGACAAGCTTCCAGCCACGATGATTGGATCATCGGGGCCTGAATGGATCGCGCTTTGTTGAAGTGCTCCCCAGGGAAGATCATTTACAGCTGATCAATTACGTATGTCCGAAAAGACGGAGCTTCCCGAAAAAAAGCTCTTCAGGGCTCATGTCCGAAGAATCCGAACTGTCGGTTTCCTGTACTGTGTTTTGCCCTGTCGAGGAGAAACGGCCGAGTCATTGGGGGAGAAGTCATATTGATTCCAATTATTATTGGGACATTGATCCAATCGTTGGGCCCTTCATCTCATGCTCAGCTTCTGGAGGTCCGGACCTTGCGATACTGAGCTGGTCATGGAATAGGCGATTTTCCCAAACCGGGATCTAGGATCTGGGGGAAGGACCGTCGCAGAATCGAATTGCGGTTGAGATTGGCCGCGTCGGAGAAATTTTCGATCGCCAAAGATTAACTTCGATGCCTTCTGCTCGCTCGTGGTCCTCGGTGCTCGCTGGAACGAGACGCACGACAGAGGCGTTTCTCTGAGCTTTATCGAATATCATTGCTATAGACCTCGTGATTTCTGATGACAGAAGTCCCGGTTCCAGAATCAAATCTGAAAGCCATCAGAACAATGTCGATGTGTGATTGAATCGTCGAAAATCCCCAGTGGCCAAGATAATCGCTGATTAAAAGCTCTACCCGCTGAGCGCTTCCGAAGATTTGATTCTGGACCGATTGGAGCCCACGTGAAATGGCGATCTGTCCAAATAGACAGCATCTCTGACAGCGTCAAGAATAGCGTGTCAATCCGATCCCGATCCTTCTTCTGAAAGTATTCTTGACAGCCCGTCATTCGCCTTCATATGATCCCTTCGCAAGTTTCCCTGGATGCCGACGGAAGACTGCGCGCAACGCTGCCCCTAATGGATGCGAAGGGTTTGGTTCCGGCGCAAAGTAAATGAATTGTATATGTCAAGCATTTCAGGAACGCTTCGGAGCAACGTGAACAAATTTATCCTTACTGCAAGCGGCAATCAGTATATCTTCGCAACGTATAGAATCGATCGGCGTTCGCCGGGTGACATACGCTCGTTCCGTTAGCTTCCAGCGACGTAGCTGAGAACTGAGTTTCCGTCCATCGGGACCGCTCGCAGACGCTGATAGTATGGGCTGAATCAAGAACAAACGCGATATAAATTACGTAATTGATCAAACTCACAAGGGTGTTGATCGGGCAAGGAGCGGACCATCAATACATCAGCGTCCCCGTCTCAATGTACCGAACGCCGGCGCGAATTTTTTCGGGAACCGCGCTTATCTATGTAGTGTCGTTTATCACATGCGCTCGGAGGGCTTGCGATACTTCGGGGTTTGTTAACACGAAGGTGCATTCCCCGGACGGGGACAACATTTCTTTCAAGTTCAAGAAGTTCGAGCCCCTCCATTACAATAAAGCATTCAAAAACTAGTTCAAGAATATTATCTGGGGAGAAGGTGCTCCACGAGGGAATGACGTGTGAACCCGACAGCCTCAGTTCTGGTGCTGATCAGAAACTCCAGACCTGAAGCGTTGAGTTGTAGATTGAGGGTTGACCTCTCGATCTGGCGAACGGCTTGAGTTTCCCTTTGTGCGATTAATGTAAGGCGGCCCACCCCAAAGCAGAACTACTGCGACAGATTTCGTGACGGGCCGGATCAGATGAGACCCAGTACGATGATATTGACGGATGCCCTCGGAAAATTTTGCTGAGATACACCTTGGAGGTAGACAAACCCGCATCCGCGGGCGGATTCTCCCTTGGAATTTTGGGACGGACTCTCTTCGCACAAAAAAAAACTCTATAAGGAGGAACATATGCTGCGATTTTGTCGTACGATGGAGCCAAAGCTTCAGATGGAGCCGCGCATACAAGGGTCTGACTCCGGACTCGTTCACCTCCTTGAGAATACAGTCTGATTGACAATAGTAATGTCCGAGCCCTCCCTCTTGACCGTTGATTGTGATTGCGCATTCACATGATCCCTCGATAGCTCATCAATCTACGATCATGGAGCACTTTGAACGAGCCCGGATCGCCCAAAGAACGGCATTAAATCGGAGAAAGTCAGCAATGGGAATGATAATGCATAAGAAGGAGGAAACTAACCAAACACGCAAATAAGCATCGAAAGAGATCTATGGCTTCCACGAATCCTTGACCATTCCACAAAGCGCAGATTCCGGATCATTGCCGAGCTTATCTATCATGACTCTTCCGAGCGGTCTTGACAACGGAGCAAACAGAACTCCTCGTGAGACTGGTACCCGACTGGGAGGTAAATATCGGATGCTCGAGAATGAGCTGATGAAGCGATTTCCAATGTATCCGACAGGTAGTAAATGGAGAGGTGATCAAGGGATTTCAATACGCCCGAGGCAGGGAAGAGACAGTCAATGCATCGGTGGTGATGAGATAAATTGGGACTGGGATATTTTGCGGTCTTCAAGAATATATCCATAGTTACGGAACCGGGTACACGAGACTCTTGTTTGTTCATTTGCTTTCACCGGTTGGACAGGGCCGATGTGGTAGTGTCCCCTATGCCGATGAATTATAATCGACGCGACGCCTAGCATTCGTCGTCTTCTTCGGGGCGGTATCTCTGTTGGGGCAAGTACGTAGCCGTCCGATGGAGCAGGAGCGTGTCCGAAAAAGCGCCGAGCCTGTTGACAGCAGCAAGTAACAAACGTGTCCCGGGAACGTAATCTAAACGTGATGGTCGGATCACGACGTGAGAGGTTCTGAAAAAGCTGAGTCGCTCCCTCACAGACACCGCGACGAATCGCATGAAGTTCCCCGATACAAACACTGGGAAAACTATGACAGCAATAGAAGAAAAGGGGTGTCATCGTGACTCGGCGGTCGCCAGATTCTGCTGAACTGTATTGAATGCCGATGGGCTTCGGGCTGCGGTCAAAACGCAACCTTGCCTAGCGCGGAGTTTCTCGATTATGCGACGCTCCCACGTAAATGCCAGCAGGCGTAGCGCCTATACGCACGGAAAGACATCCGAGC